AGCGACGGCGTTAAGTCCCTGTTTGATTTTTGGTCGTTGGTGATGGCTGTAAGGGAACTAGATGTAGGCTGAGGCCAGGGGAGTTATGACATCCAACACTGCCGGCTTGATCCTGCTCAGTGGTTGCTGGGAAATGCCGCATATGTCTCCAACCTCACACTGGAATGTGCCGGTGGTCAAAATCCCCAAATACTTTCTATTTGTAGTTTCACTATTCTACCGCTAGATTATGTGTGTACACGTGGTCAGAGCTGTGCGTATATTTACGTACAGTCCGAAGTATAAGTACAAGTTGATAAATTCCATACTTTGCGTAGGAATGTTCGTACGCACGCTCTACGCACATATCTGTGCGTACGCACTGATGATAAATGAGGCCCCTGGAGCTTTCAACATGTCAGGAAGTAAAACAATTCCCTCCCCGTGAAACGCCATGGCTGTGCACCTGACTATGACATCACTACGCTCTCAGTAGCTCTGCCTGGGCTGCCAGGTGTGATTCATCCTATCCACCAGCAAACTGCCCTACTGCAACCTGTTCCTAGGTCCACCACTACAGACATTTCTGGCCATGGGGTACCAACTCACCTATCCTCCCTTGAAACTTCCCTTCACGTCTGGCACCAGGCTGCCAGCTCCTCCCTTTCTCCTTCACCCCACATTCCTAGCAACTTCTCTCTCTTTCACTATCACCACTGGGCTGCCATTTCCTCTCCTCCATCCACCATTCACAGTAACCTCTCCCTCTCTGGAAATGGGCTGCTAGTACAAGAGTTTGACAACAACCTGATTTTAGTTCTCAACATAGCCCTGCTTACTGGAGACACAGGTATTTTTCGTCCTTCTATCTAGCTTGCCTCTAACACAACAGTTTGCCTCCAACAATTCATTTTTTCAGGAAATATGGGGAGAGGAGTGGGGGAAGGACCTGCAATAAATGGTCATGGTCAGACTTGAACCCACAACCTCTGCGTCGGAGACTATAGCACCTGTTCTTGGGCTGTCCAACCTGTTGAGCTATCCAGCCACCCACAACCCTCCACTTTTACACACCAGGATGCCTGATTCTCTTACTTTCAGTGCAGATCCTAGCAGGTTTGGTTGTTCTGCAGCAGTGGTCCCTCTCAAGCAGTTTACCCTCACAACCTTACAAAACACAACAGAGTCACTAACCCTACATCTTGTCTGCTACAACTCCCTTTAACATTCCAGCAACACACACTCAGAACTCATCCAGCCCCAGACTCGTTAATCTCCACATCAAGTGTCTTCAGACAGTTTCCACCCATGAGTCATCTCACCGTCCTCAGCAAGTACTTAGGTTCTAGTCTGCAGTAGAAGATCCAGATGCCATGGGCCCAACAAAGTAAAGAAAATTCAACATCAGCAATCTCTGGCCCTCATTGTGGCACCGGAATGCCAGTTTGACTTATCTCTATCCTCCAGTTCAGCAACTTCAGCTCTTATTCTAGTACCAAGATGCTGGATTCTCTAGCCTCCTTATACCTCATCAGCAGTCTGCTTGTTATACTGCTGGCACTGGGACACCAGTTTAACTCCTCTCTATCCCCTGTTTAGACAATTTCCGTTCTCATTCCAAGACCAGGGTGCCAGTTTCACTCATCTGTATCCCTTGTCTGAACAATTTCCGGCTCCCTCTATCACGGG